CTAGCCAACACTGGCAACCCTTGAGGTACATGGGTAGGGTTGCCAAACCCCCCGGTTTGCCAGGGGTCCCCCGTTTTGGGAGGGGGTTCTACCCACCACCGGCCAGATGGCTGGCGGGGGAAGCCCCACCCCCAACACCCACAGCCACCCATCTCTCTCCCTTTAAGCATGTGCAACCTGTGTTTCTTCTCAAGCGCGAAATCCGCAAGCTTGCAGGGAAATGCCAGCTTTGTTCTTAAAAGGGAAACGCAGCTGCTCTTAAAGGGGAAACGCCGGCTGCCGGCTACTTTAAGTGCAGGGAACTGCCGTTTCTGGAGATCCGGCGCACGGGCGGGTGGGGGGGTGGCAGACGTCCCCAACGTGACGTCATCATGTTGGGGATGCCCCACCCCCTCCAGGAACACCCCTAAAGTCCCCCGCTGGGGGTGGAAGATAGACTTGGCAACCCTATACATGGGGGAAGTGTGAAGTCTGGATAAACAGTGTAGCACCTATGCTACAACATCACTTCCAGTGAACCCTGAAGTGACATCGCTATGTCAGGGCAACACTTTAGGCTTTACCCAAAACAAACCACAGAGTTTTGGGTGAATCCTAGAGCATTGCCCAATGCAGTGATGTCATTCCTGGGTTTGCACAGGAAGTGACATCATAGTTTCACTGTGATGCTGATTTTTCACCCCAGTTTTGCTCCTACTCCCCCACCAAGCAGCAGGGAGAGTGGTGCAGCCTGTGGCAAGGTGTTCCACTACAGCAGGAGACCTAGCAACCCTGGTTGCAGGGTCCACTCAGCTTGGAATGTTGGCAGTGTAAGTAGGATCACCCCCCACCATCATCACAGTCTGATTCCAACCTGAACAGACCCTGCCATTATGCCAGCACCACAGGGAGCACAAAAGTGTGGCTTATAAGCATTCTGTTCAGAATACCAGACAGAATCTGTACATTCTAACTTTCTGGCAGTTATAGAAGGCACCAAGAGCTCCAAAGGCCTCTTTAGAATGCATCATGTCCCTGGTGCCTCTATAATACTGATGTGTGCTGGCATTCAGAATGGAAAAATAAGGGCTTGAAAGTTAATAGGAGTACTTTTGATGTGCTTCACTAGTGGTTAAGCAATGCATATTTATCTACATTTTGACTTGCAAGTTGCTCTATCATACGATGCCCTCGAGGGCTTTTTATATTGATCATAGTGTTTAAAGCAGTGAGTCACGCAGCTTCCATGAACTGATGTGCAAACTAGAAACACCTTTTGAATTTGCATCTCATCATGTGGAAGATTACGCAAGCCACTGCTTCAGAAGGGGCTACAGAAAGAGGATGTGACTCACTTGTGCACCTTGTTAAGCCTTATTAGTAAGCTACGCCAACTGCTATACTTGGAGCAAAAATGGACATGATGCATGACACGGAGTTGCAGCTCAAGTGGTACCCTCTTGTCTAGTGTTATGGAGTGAAGAGAACATCTTGGCTTGCATCATCATGATGCTGGGCATCTCCTTGCCCCCACCTGTGACAGTCAATAATTGTTCATACTGTTTAACTTCTGTGAATCGGTCTCATTTCTTCTAAATCTCAGCATCATTACATCCAACAGTGAATTACTATCCTATATGCAGACAATGAAAGAAATATTCCCAGGGCTTTTTTTGTAGAAAAAGCCAAGCAGGAACTCATTAGCATAATAGGCCACACCCAACAACAGAAACTCATTAGCATAATAGGCCACACCCAACAACAGAAACTCATTAGCATATCCAGCCACACCCATGAGAGCATAGCTCATTAGCATATTAGGCTGCACCCCCATGTTACCAGAAGTGTCGACATCCTTTTGCTTCTTATTCTGTTTACCTTGTTTGTTGTCAAAACCTAGGGCTTTTTTTGTAGCAGGAACTCCTTTGCATGTTAGGCCACACCCTAATGTAACCAATCCTAATGAGTTTCTGTTATTGGGTGTGGCCTACTATGCTAATGAGTTCCTGCTGGACGTGGTCAACTTGGGAGCCAGCCGGAACTCCGTTCCTGTGCGTTCCTGCCCAAAAATAGCCCTGCATGTTCCTAGAAAATAGTTTCCTTATCACCTTCAGTTTTCAAGAAATGCCACAAACTAGATGATTAAGGGTTGTGCAGGTGTACAAGCACTCTGGCTCCAGCCAATATGACGTGCAGAACAGCACTACTGGAAGTGAGCTAGCACTCGTTCTGGATACAGAAAAAGGCTTTAAAACGCAAGAAGTGGGAGATGGGGGAAAGATGGAAGCTGAGGTTGTATCTCTGGGCCAAGCTCTGGCTGGTCCAATGAAGAGAAGGCATTTGCCACAGATAAGGATGGAAGAGCAGTCAAAGGGGGAAACTGAGGAGCTTAGGTGGAGAGGCTAATGAGAGCCTGAGAGAACAAGGGAAATGGAGGTGGGAACGAAGGGCTGAGAGAAAAGGGCTGGGTAATGGGGGGGGAGCCTGTTAAAGGAGGGTGGTATAGGCTGTTGAGGAGTAATGGAAGAGAAAGGCGATGAAGAAGTTAATGGGGAGTGGAATGAAGAAAAGAAGTGGTATTTTGGGGAGTAGGAAAGGGGTGATTAGAAGCTGTGTGGTTAGGATAATGAGGTGACTGAGAGCTAAAGGATGGATGGAGAACAGGGAGGAGGAAAGCAGTGGAGAGGTATGGCAGAGGTTTTGTCTTAGAGAATGGGGGAGTGTACAGTGGGTTAAATGTAGGGAGAATGGACATGGTCAATGGAGATGGTGAAGGGACCAGGTGGCTAAGGAAAGAGGAGGGAGAGAAAAGTCAAAGCAGGGGCAGAAGAAAGCAAGAAGGAGGTAGAAAATAAGGAAGGGGACTGTAGGGTTGCCAGCTCCAGCCTGTGGAGTCTGAGGAGGGAAAGGAGCTCAGGAGAGATGTGATACCGTAGTGTCTGCCCTCTAAAGATGTCATTTCCTCCAGGGAAACCGAGCTCTATTACCTTTCAGCTTTAAACCCAAGGCACAGTATAAACACAATCAAAGGCTCTTCAGGGTAGGCACCTTTGTTATTTGAGGCATATTGTATTACGATATAGGGAGGTGGAAGAGAAATTGATATGGATACATTTTGGGGGTGACAAGCCCATGTCACTTCCACCATTTGAACAGTTTCATACAATATAGATAAGCAAACCTGGCTTCCCTTGCCACTGAATGTGCAATCACTAGATGGTTATGACTTATCTCTGCTTGCAAACATGCCTACTTGCATGATGGCTGTCTTGGAATGATAGCTGTTTAGAGCTCTGTGCATGTTAATATATCACAGCCTCTTTAAGAAACAAAGCTGCAGGGTATAGAGAGAACGATGGGGAAGGGGTGGGGAAAAACAGCCTTTGCCTTATGTAGTTTGATTACTTTGACCAGGGCTCTAGTCGGGGGGGAGCTCTCAGGTACGGAGCTCCGGAAGAGAACCTCTAGGGGGCGGGGCGGTCACGTGGTGAAGCCCCGCCCCCTTCTTTACCCCGCCCTCTGCTTCGATCCTCATTCCGTTTGGGAATGAGGATGAAGCAGGAGGGTAAGTAGCCGGGCCTTCTGACACACTTCCGGTGATGTCAGGGGGTGTGGCCTTCTGTCACTTCCGGTGATGTCAGGGGGCGTGGCATATGCAAATAAGTTATGCTAATGAGTTATGCTAATGAGCGCCGGCAGCTCTTTTTCTACAACAAGACCCCTGACTTTGACTAAAAATCAGTTTAAGGCCTTTGCGAAGCTGTACCTGCTGTCAGCAGATAAATAATGTTCAACTGTTCTGCTCTTCTTCAGGGAGCCTCCATTACATTTGTTGAGCTTTTAGTGCCTGATGGGAACACAGACAGCCCTGGGCATTCTGTTAACTTTTCTTCATCTTCACTCTCCTTTACCTGAATAGCCCATTTTTGCTTATTGCTGACTGTATTTTTCTAACACAGCTGTTGGTTCCATTGCTTGATCCCCCCCGCCGTAAATATTATAAATTATGTTCTGCATTTATACATTTATTCTATTTGGAAGCAAACTTGTAAAATAATCGGGGGGGTATTTTTTCCATATGTGTATGTGTGTGTGCATGAGTTTGTGTGCACCTGGAAGTCATGGCGACCTCTGGTGACTGGCCCCTACTGGAGGATATTCAGAGAGGTGGCTGAGTAAAGCCTGCCCCCACCTCCTGCCTCTGGTATTCCAATGAGGTCTCCCATCCAAGTACTTGCCAGCGTTGACCCTGCTTAATTTCCAAGATCTGAGAAGATCAGGCTTGCCTGGGCTACCCAAGTCAGGGCTTCTAAAATAATTTCTAATTTAAAACACTTTCTGTTCCACCTTCCCTCATCAGATACTTTAATTTTGTGACATAAATATTTTAAGCAAAGTTCATAAGAAACTAACCATTTTGGGGGCACTGTGACAGAAGCCTCTCTGAAGAATGGCTTTACTTCCGGCATTCCAGTATCTTTCCATTTGTGTTCGTCTAAGAGTAATATTGCTAGTACTGAGGAACAGCTAATTCAAGATACAAACTGTCCACCTCTTATGAGTCTGTTTTGATTCTATCTAAAAAATATAGCTGCACCTCCCATCTTTTCACACCTCCATTTAACTGTTTCTGTAAATTAACACGAACAATTCAGCACAGGATGTTCCTTGTTGTAGCAATGAAACTAATGTAATAGTATTCTCGGCATCTTTGTACAACTGCCTGTGCATGCCAGCAGTCAGCTGATAAAGAACACTTGATCATTGTGTGCCATGGCTTTCCCAAGGCCTCCATAGCATGGATTTTAGTCTCCACCTCATTGCGGATCCCGTTAGTCCATCAGACAAACATTCCTCTTCAGACAGAGCTCTTGCCAACAAGGGTCTTTTTGTCCTGTGTCATGATCCATTTTGATATGTAACCCTCAGTGTTTCTAAAGGTCACCCAGGAGCCTCCCAAAGAACACATGCCTATTGGGGTCCAGTTTATATCAAAGGATGATCTCATTTGTCTCCTACAGGAAAATATGCAAGTCATGCAAATGCAGCCAGGAAGATCACAGCCTCAGCTCTGATGCAGAAGATGATCGGAAAATTGGCCGCTTGCTCTCAGATTCAAAATATTCCTCGCTAACTGCTCGGGTGAAAGGAGGTGATGGTGTCCGTATCTATAAAAGGAACCGCATGATCATCACTAATCCTATAGTGTCCCGGAAAGATCCGACTTTTGATACTGTTACATATGAATGGGCTCCCCCAGGACTCACTCAGAAACTGGTAAGTACTTCTCAAAAAGTTCATAAGTGCTTCTTGGAAAGCTTGCTAACCATTTAACAAGGATTCGATCCCATGTTTCCATGACCAGCATAAAGCCTCAGAAGCCGTTTTTATCAGTTTCCCCTGGACCCCACAAAGCTGTTGCTGATGTTTGGGAGGGGCCTGCAGAACAATTTGACATTTAGCATTGGGAAGAGGGTACAGCAAAAAGTACAAACTGGACAAAATTTGTTCATTGCTCTTGCCACATGGCTGGAGTAGTAGTAGTAGTAGTAGTAGTAGTAGTAGTAGTAGTAGTAGTAGTAGTAGTAGTAGTAGTGATTGGATTTAAACTCTGCCCTTCACTCAGAGTCTCAGAGCAGCTTACAAACTCCTTTCCCTTCCCCTTCCCTGTGAGGCAGGTGGGGCTGAGACACCTCTGAGAGAACAGCTCTGACAGAACTATGGCTTGTCCAAGGTCATCCAGCAGCTACAAGGGAAGGAGTGGGGAATCTAACCCGGTTCTCCCTGATTAGAGTCCGCACACTTAACCACTACACCAAACTGGCCCTCTTGACTTGTTCTTTTGCCAGAGAAGGGATGTTTTGTCCCTTTCCCCCTTATGATAAGCTATACTGGAGCATCCCCCAATCCCCAGCAGCGTTTCAGGGGAAAGGGAACTTTTGGAGGGTTCGGAGAAGTGGAACTGAATAAAAATAGTTTAATTCCATTTGCAGATGCTGCGCCTCATAAAAGACTGCACCTTATAAAAGGAGCTGCCACCACTCCTCTTCCTGCTTTCCTTTGTAACATCTGAGTAGAGCCCAACACTTGGCCCACTCCTATCTCACATCACTGCCTGTTAGTGGCAGGTAGAGATCAAATTGGAATCATAGTGGTGGCACATTGTACATTTTGTTTAATTTTGCAAAGAGTAGGAGAGGAAGAGACCACTCTGTCATAATGACTAGTTAGAGTCATGGACTTTGATCCTGTGAATGAGTTCTGTGCACACCAGATAGCCTCTGCTGCAGGGTGCATTACCTCTTCCACTAAAATTTCCATTAATGCATGGCCCCATTAAAAACCACTGATACTGGGCCAATTGAAGTTTTAGAGGAAGCGGAAACAAGCTGTGCAGCATGGGCTATCTAGTGAGCACGGAACTCATTCATCGAATCCAAACCATGGATTTTTTATGGAGCCAAGAAAATAATAAATCATGTTGTTCTCTTCAACCAAACCAGAATTAGGCTGTTGATAAACCACCAAGATCAACTTGGATTATATTATTTTGAATGCAAGACCAGGGTAGGCCTGGAACAATAATGTCACTACTGTGTTAATGAAATCAAAAATTACTGCCGGATCTCTGTTCTGAATCTTGTATGCCTGCCTGCCTACTAAATGCAGGCACCTGCACCCACTCTGCCCCACTACCTCCCTTTCCCATTGTGCTGGCTGCCTGCCACTTCCCATTCTGCCTTTGCTGTGTATTAAGCTCTATGTGCATGCTCTGCTGATTGGAAGTGACAAATGTCTGTCTCCTTTACTCTGCAAATGGGAATTGTGATTGCCTATAAAATGAGGAACCATACTATCTCTCTGCCTGGAATTCTATAAGGTGGAGTCCTTGAGGTGAGGGATACGCTAGGAATTCCATTTCACTTTCCTATACCCCTGATGGCATATTCTTCTGGAGGGCTCCTTGACCCTCAGCAGTGGCCTTTGGAGATGGCATAAGGAGAAGAATCCAAAGTTCTACAATGACTGTTTAAAATAAAACAACTAAATCTTCATCATTGTGAATGATATTCAGTTTGCTTTTGTGAACTCACCTTCATGAAAGCATTGAATCCAACTCAGTGTTTATAGCATATAATTATTCAGTCTGTCTGAGCACTCTGTTTAGGCAGGGAGTCTTCCCGTTACTTAAAAGCCAAACATTAGGTTCTTTCTGCTGTTTCGAAAAGGACTTGTGGGATTCTTACCATCCTGTTAATAGGGAGGTATGTGAATGCACGTTGTCTTTCCAGAGAAAAGTAGGATTCTTCTGTGACAGGCTTGAATTTGGTGAGCTTGCCCAATTTTGTCACTGACAAAATTTGAGATTGGCCCTTTAGTGATACTTTTGTATCCACTCTAAAATTTTGCATTTATAGTTTGAGAAAAAATTGAACTGGCGCAAGTTTGTATTGCTTGATTGGCCCCAAAATAACTTGCATATCGATTACATGATGTTTAATCTTTCTCCATGCTCATAGTAAATGACAAAAAGCTAATATGTGTTCAGGCAGTGGGGGGTTGGCCTCTACGCCCTGTTTGTTGGCCCTACAGGGCAACTGGTTGGCCATTGTGTGAAAAAGGTCCTGGACTAGATGGACCACTGATTCAGCAGTGCTGCTCCTATTCATTTTCCCCATGAAAGAAGATTATTCTAATGGCTGCTTTCCTATTTGCTTGCTCACTTGCACTCCCTCTTTCCCCCTTCCCCAAAGCAGTAAGTGTACCTGAGTTCTGAAACTGGATCCATTTGACCATTTTGGTCTTGCGTCTTGACCCTGTGCTTTGTTCATCCTTACCAAACATCAAGATACAGCAGTGTCTAAAAACAGGCAGCAGCGATCAAGAAGAAATACCTTATATAAAATCTGAATGTGGCTTTTCAGTGACCTTCTAAAGTTACAGTTCAACAAATCTGCATGTTTATAAAAGCTGGTCACTTGAAAGGAATGAAGCTAGGATTCTCTGGACACCTATCAAACTCCTGAAGCATGTCTTAATCCCAGACACACCTGTTGCTCTTGAAAAGGGAGCACAGTTATGTTGCCAGACTGGCTCTGGATTGGTCCAGTTCTCTTGAAAACCTTTATTGTGCTCTGGAGACTGATTTTTTTTTTTTTTGGTCACTATAAAATCACTTTATGAATGCTGGACCCCCTTGTTTCTGGATATTGTGCTACCATAATTGTTCATCATCTGGATTTTCCTGTTCACACAAGAGAATTCAGGAGTTGAATGAATGATAGTGTGACAATACATAGACCCTACTTCTCTGCCCCGAGAATTGGGAACACTGAATCCCACCAGCAGGTACAATCTTGATCTCTGCTGACCATAGATTATGAAAACTTCTCTGTGGAATTCCTTGTGTTGCCTGACTACTTTTTTCACATGACAGAACTAGCAAAAGATTAAAAACTATCTAAAGATTATCATACCAGTTCTCCAAAGCAAACTTCTTCCTCTGTTAGGACTTATCCCAGTATTTTGAAATATACAGGTAGATCATGCATTTGTATGCATGGGTATTCAATTCAAGGTTTCCAGTTAACTTAGAATGACTGTTTTCCACATAGGGTTGCCAGGTCTGATTGTGACGCCAGTAGGGGAATTGGGGGGGGGGGTGTTCTGGGAGTGGGCAGAAATGTCGTGTGACATAGGCACACCGGTGACAGGGGTGACATTCTGGTTTTGAGCCAAAACTCTATGGTAAACTTGCCCTCAAACCCCCTCCAAACGTCACTGACGCACCTACATAACTTCCAGGTGACATCAGTGCATCGTGTATGATGCTGCTGTTTGGGGGGGGGGGTAGGGGGAATTTCCTCCCAATAGCCAGCTGGCCACGAGCTGGCAGGAACCCACAGAAATGGGGGATCCCTGTCCCCACCTGGGGAATGGTAACCCTATATGGATACTGTGATTCTGTTATATCGGCATGCATTTTCAGTAATGCGACTGTAAGACTCTTCATTTTTGCCTGTTTCGTTCATTCTTAGGGCTCCTCTTATTTCACCTTGAAGCCTTCCTTTTTATAATCAGATGTGTGGGCTTTAAAGTTGTGAAGACAGCACACACATTGTTTTAAGGGAATTAAGCCTTTTTAAATATTGTATTGAGGAATTTTTCCTTACGATTTTTAAAGGGTTCTGTACTGCATGCTTTTGAGGTTACCGGATCTTATCTGGAACTTGAAACATCCCAAGCTGCTGACATTCAAGATCATGATTTTTTGCACTTTACATCGAAAATCCCATGGTTTGCTTCAGATAGACATGTTCAATTTACACATGTTCTTTTCAATAAATTGAAGTCAGAGCTTGAAGTCCTGTCTTTTAAAGGGAGGGGATAAACGTGGGGCTTTGGCTTGACTATGGATACAGATTTTGACCCAGTGTTTACTTTTATGACCCCAGTAAGTGCCATATAATAATGTCTCCACACTCTGACAAACTGGGAACCTTAGAGAAAGGGTTTATTAATGATCTCTGTGACAGCTGGTGACCAAATAACCTTTCATTCTCTGTACATTCTTGACTTGCATGGTTTATACTGAATTTCATCTCTGACTTGGTCAACAAGTGCAATTTATTTTTCCTTGTTTATCTCTTCCAGCCCATAACATGTTGGGTTTATCATATGTTTGTTTTTATATTTTCTGTTCTCATGACATGGGGCAATTCCTGATATTAAAAAAAATGTGTCATTTGTTTTATTCATTCAAGTACTCTAGCCTTGTCCTCAAGCATCAAGGCTAAACCTTTCATTCCATGCATTGTTGAATGTTGAGCTTGTGTAATCCAAATTATAATGCTTCATAAAAGGTATAGGTTTTAGCCAGATACCCCACACCAGGAATGTTGGCGGGGAAAGAAAATAACATGATAAAGGTTGTTTCTTTTCTATTTCCAAAAATAAAGTCTACTTCTGGTCAGTGTTCCCTCTAAGGTGAGTTAGTGTGAGTTAGCTCATAGCTTTTTAGCATCCAGCTCACACATTTTTGTCTTTGCTCAGGAAGGATGGCTCCAGAGAAAACTAATTTATGCAGTAGCCAAATTGCTTGCTCACAACTTTAATGCTAGTAGCTCACAAAACAGAATTTTTGCTCACAAGACTTCAGAGCTTAGAGGGAACATTGCTTCTGGTGCATTCCTAAACAAAGCCAGTGTTGTACAGTTGTTAGAGTGTCAGACTAGGATCTGGGAGACCCCAATTCAAATTCCCACTTTACCACAGAA